GTTTTATTCTAATTAATTTAAAGGAAAAAAGGGGATGGGTTTGGAGAAGATGAACTTGCCTTTTGGATTCATTTTGATCTCTCAAACGTGAGTGAAACTCGATCCTCCTTCACAACGGTTATAGATCTCGCACTCCTCTAGGTCTTTACTTCACAAATTTCCTCCAAAATCAAAAGTAGAAATTTAGGGTTTAGAGAGGGGTTGGCTGTTGCAACATGGGAGATGAAGGGGAAAAGGAAAAAGGAATTTGGGTCTATATATATGTACACATATAAGACTGACCTGACCCGAACCTAAACAAAAAATCGTCAGTTGCCGATCGGTCGACTAATCCATGGGGTCAGTCGACTGACCCGAACATATATATATATATATAATCGATCTTAAATCAATTACAAATAAATCCATTCATCCCAGAATGATCACCAACCATACTAAAAATTATTTATTATCATTTCAAAATTATTTCCTTTAATTTTTTAGTGTTTTACATTCACCCCTCTTTAAAGAGAAATTTATCCTCGAAATTCAGCAATTTATTATTAATAACAATGTATGTGTCACAAACGCAATGTTTACACTTAACATCTAGAATGTAAATACCCCTACTTATCCTCTAATTAAACAGAACTAGTACGTCGTGCAAAAAATCTTAACAAGGAACCTCTTATGTATATACCATTTGTTCCGAATGATTAGGTGTTAAGTGTTAACACCCACATTCTAGCACGAAGTGTAAATGTGATTATATAGATCAAATAATTACCAACAATATTATAACTAATAATATACATGCTCGAACAAATGTGGATAGTTATGATGTATATCTTCTTCGCGCTCCTAGGAAGCGTCCTCAACTCCCTTCCTGTTCCACTGTACTTTAACTAATGGAATTACTTTAATCCGGAGTTTCTTGTCCTCCCTAGCAAGAATTTGGACTGGAGTCTCAACTATAGTCAAATCCGCCTGAAGCTCTAAATCTGGCACATCAAACACTCTCTGCTTCTCCTCATCTCGTAAGTGCTTCTTAGGCATCAATACATGAAAGACATCATGTACACCTGACATCAACGCTGAAAGGTCTAGTCGGTACAAGACGGCTCCAACACAATTGCCTATCCTGAATGGACCAATATATCTTGGGGCAAGCTTTTCCCATCTACCAAATCGTCTGACGCTTTTCATAGGTGAGACTTTCAACAAGATATAGCCTCTAATCTGAAACTCTAAAGGTCGTCACCACTAATCTACATAACTCATCTGCCAAAACTCAGGGCTGCAAGAATACGCTTTCGAATCAATGTTACCTGCTCTATTGTCTGCCTCACAAGATCTGACCCAAGTAGTAAGCTATTCTCCGGCTCTGCCTAACAAATCGGAGATCTATAGGGTCTTCCATACAATGCTTCATAAGGGGCCAAACCTATAGTCAATTGATAACAATTGTTGTAAGCAAACTCAATCAATGGTATATGATCTTCCCAACTGCCTTGGAAATTAATCACACATGCGCGAAGCATGTCCTCCAATACTTGGTTGACTCTCTCCGTTTGACCATCTGTTTATAAGTAGAAAACACTGCTATAAGCTAACTGTTTGCTAAAAGAATGTTGAAAACTCTTCTAGAAATGGGATGTGAATACCGAGTCACAATCTAATATAATAATCTCTGGAACTCCATGTAATCTTACAATCTCCCGAATAAAAATTCTTGCGTAAGTCTCTGTAGTGTTGATTGTCTTAACTGGCAAGAAGTGAGCTAACTTCGTCAGTTGATCAACAATCACCCAGATAGAATCACTTCCCTTGCTAGACCTCGGCACTCACATAATGAAATCCATCGAAATATCTACCCACTTCCATTCAGGAATAGGTAAGGGCTGTAGGGTACCAGCTAGTCTTTGATGCTCTACCTTCACTTTCTGACAAGTAAAGCATTTAGATGTT